GCTTTGCTCTTGCTCGCCCATACGCTCTGAACTCCATATTTTGTCCGTCTTCGTCGACCGTAGACGGTTTGCTCGTCTCGTTTCCCGTCCCCGTCTCCAGCCCGTCGTTTCCCGTCACATCTTTCGTATTGCTCTAGCAAAACAATATACCACTTCATTAATCTTTTGGTGAAAGGGTTGGAGGATCGCGTGGCACCGCGGGTTTCGGCAAGACTGATGTCTGTGGCGAGAGAAGATACTTAGTCCGCACAGTTGTCCGATAGGAAGTTGACGGCCTCTTGCGCGACTTCGATATGCAGTAGGCTTCAGAGCGCATGCGCGCACAACGCGACTCTCGCCTTGAGCCATTCACCCGCCCGCTGGTCTGCCGTCGTGGTCCATGGGCAATCGCTCCTGGGGACTCGACGATGATAGCGACGCAATGAACGACAAGGCTGTTATGGTAGTTCGGCGATTGCGCATAGCAGTCGGCTCCAGCCTCAGTCGAGCCTGCAGAGAACGAGGCGTGTTGGGGCGGCGCCCGACTTCATCGCCTGCCGACGGCTGAGGGTGGTAGGAATCGTCGAGCGCGTTTGTGTGTGCCTCGGACACCGGACATCGCTGAGCCTACGGAAGAGGATGATGTGTCGCCCGATTTTGAACGTTCGTTAAAGTTCTCGGCTGTGCGTATGAGAACTGTCGGATATTGGGCTAATGAAGCTGCGATTTCCGTGTGCGCTTGTAGGCCCAAGGGGAGGGCCCCAACGAGAGGCGAGATCTCCCAAATAAAGCTCTTTGAGTGACAACGACCATCGCCGACGCCTCCAACGACCAGCCTGCAAGCCGGCGGCAAGGATAACATTCATACGGTATGTGGGGTACGTGGAAGCAGGAAGCGAGAACGTGTGTGCGACGGAGCGGACAGGGATGAGCTGTTGATCCACCCTCCGCATGTGATTTCTGCACAGAACAAGCTTCGACGCCAGTTCTTTTCGCGAACACCTCTGTGTCCGAGCCACATCGCGCCCGAACCCACTCCTAGGCTTGTCAGACTATACCCTTGCATTCGCATCTTGGACTAGACCTCGATCTCGTAGTCCTGGTCTTAGTGCTCAACCACTACCAGCTTTACTACTGCGACGCTGCGACCTATGGACTCGGCGCATCTTGTGAGGCAGTTGCGGTTCGTTGTGCCGGGCGGCGCGGCGACGTATGTGTTGGGTACGCTGGAGAAGATGAGGGATGTATGGGAGAGCGGGGCTGCACGGTGCGTCATGAATATTGCGCCGTGGACTGCGAGCTGACGACGGGATACTGGGAATCTAGGCCGTTATTCGCGACATCCCTTGCTGCGGGATTCACGACCGTCCTGCTCTTCCTATACATCTTGCTCATACCCGTCATCAAGGGCATCCCACCAAACGTGCGTCGTTCTTCTATTCGGCCCGCAGATCGAGAGCTGACTTGTATCTGGGCGAACAGTACCGCAGCTGGCGAGAATCCGGCGAGCTGAGCAGTGTAATCCCCGGCTTGACGGCGAGCATCATCGTGGGCTGGACTTCTCTGGCCTATGTACTCGGCCGCTATTCGAGTCTGGGCTATTTGAAGGGGACGATCAGCTGTGCGTGTCGATTATGCTTTTGTGCGATTAGAGAGAGACGCTGACATCGGTTCCCGTGTAGCGCTGGGTCTTTACGCACTTGGGTTCGGGATGCTGGGACTGTTACCTGCGCCGAGGATCCAGCGGTTGCACCGTACCGCATAGTATAAATGACAGATTCTAATATGTTTTGTCTACCCCATTCGCTTCAGCTATATAGCGCCTGGTCGAGCCTATCGCTCGCCACGAGCGCAAATCATGTCTGATTGTATGATCCTCCTGCAGCACCTTCTCGTTCATAGTCCCTCCTCCACGATATACCTCCTTCACCTAGACGCTGCTCTCTATTGTTGTAATGTATCGTATACGACGAGCCCGTACGGCTCTTGTCAACCCTGCTGAGTTTTGCCGCTCATATCGTGCTTCACCATCTTCGGACTGTATAGCTCTTCGGGTCGCTGCCTTCACACGCAGCCGATCCATTTCGCGAACTCCCCGTTGAGCGTGTATACGCAGTGGCGAGAGTGTTGATGCTCTGAGATCTCGCATGGATCTCAGATCCAGCAATTCAGCGCTGAGCGCCTCGACTCATCAAGATGACATGACGTCGCTCGCGCCGAGCTCGGCGATGCGGGAAATGGCACTTGCCTTACACACTCACCCCCTCCTCCTTTCCCATCTCATACTTTCGAGCTATGGCATACTTGTCAAATAACCCCTTCGTTGACGAGTCATCGTCCGCTGCCGCTCGATTTCCATCTATAAACGGCTATGGCAGCCCATCACCACCACAGGCTGCAGGATCGCAGTACACGGGTTGGGCACAACCGGGATACTCGGCGCAGTCTCCGCCGCCTCAGCAGCAGTTTGGTACACAGCCTACGGGGTATCAACAGCAGTATCAGGCACAGCAGCAGTTTGGACAGCCTACTGGATACGGTTTAACAAGCCCGGTCGGCGCGTCTCAGGGTCAGCAGTCTGGATTCTTCCCTCAGCAGCAGCAGCAACCACAGCAGCAATTCGCGCCACAGCCGACGGGATATGGCGGATCTGGATTTGGACAGCCGCAGATTCAGTCACAGCCTTCGTATTCTGGATATGGTCAGCAACAGCAGGGGTACGGGTTTCAGCAGCAGCCGACGGGGTACGGAGGCGGGTACCAGCAGCAACAGCCGCAACCGTACGGCGGGAACGGCAATCTCGCCGCATTCGATCCCTACGCCAACTCTTCCCAATTCCAACAGCAACAACCTCAACAACAATCCGGCCAGTTCCCATCCGCATCTACGCCAGCCGGCGGCGCCGCGCCACCCGGACAGGAACATCCGCGGCAATACGTCCAGGCGCATAAAGCCGAGCTGGAGCAGTGGGACCAGATTGCGTGGAAGCAGGCTACGAACGCGTTCGATGCGCTTGCGGCGGCTTGGGAGGCGAGGAAGAGGTTGGTGGATATGAGGATTCAGCAGTTGGGGAGTACGCCGGGTGCGGCGGGCGGGTTCTTTGGTGGGCAGCAGCAGGGGTATGGAGGGTATGGAGGGTATAATCCGCAGGCGCAGGAGGTTGAACGGTTGAATGGGGTACGTCGATTCTGTTGCTTTCAGATTGACAAGGCGGGTGTGCTGATGATGTTTTGGTATAGTTGGCGAAGGAGGCGGAGAATAATGTGGGCACTGTATATGCGGCCAAGTTCCAGATGACGGAGGTGCAGGGGTCGTATCGCCATTCGACGGATGCTGCGAGTAAGCGCCGTGTACGCGAGGCTACGAACGCGGCGCTTACGAACTTGCCGGATTGGCCGCCTGCCAACTTCTGACCCACGATTGATCGATGAATCGTACGCGTTGGATCAAATGGTTTTGTATTGAGCCTGTCAGGATTGTAAGGATCGGGGGTTACTCGAAGGACGTCTCTCGCCCAGGGAAATCGAATTGGCGCTATTCGCCACGCAATGTATTTGTATAGGTCATACAAGTTGCCTCTAGTTCGTGTATGTTGTGTGTATGTAGTGCTACGGTCGTTGCTGCCGTAATATTATAACCAATTTTGGAGAAGAGATGATGTGCTTGGAGTTTTATTTGGCAATTATTCTATTGGGTGGCGCGAGGCCATATGAGACACGCGGTCGTGTGCGGTCATGGAACCGGTCACCCGCAGCGCGCGGAGACGGAGATATACCAAGTCTTTACCTCTTACCTCCATCTACACGCACGGCCTATTATACTGCGACAGCTAGCGTTGTGTTAGCCGCGCATGGCCTTCTCACCTCGGCTGGTGTTCGCCCTCCTCTTCGTCATCAACTGCGTGCTCTGGTCCCAGAGCCGATACGCACAGTTTGGGTCGGCTGTAGAATCTGTGCCGTTACAGAAACGCGGACTCGCCGGGCTCGTCGAGGCGTATTACTCGGACGATGGACTTAATCAAGTAGGTCTACTACTATCTCATAGGTCTATAACAGCAGCTAATAATGACACAGTGCCGTCCGATAGAGTTTCCGGTAGAGGACCAGTGCACGCACGTCTCCGAAGCCTGCCCGAAGTCTGCGACATTCCTCTCTATAAACTACCTGCACTCGTACTTCTGCGCGTCACCCACCGCCCGGCCCTTCGTCTTTGCCGGACTGATCGTCTGGCTCGTCTTCCTCTTCTCCACCCTCGGCATCTCCGCCTCGGACTTCTTCTGCCCCAACCTCGCCACTATCGCCCAGCTATTGGGTCTGGACGAGAACGTCGCGGGAGTCACGTTCTTGGCTTTCGGGAATGGGAGCCCGGACGTGTTTTCGACGTTTAGCGCTATGCGCGCCGATTCGGGCAGTCTGGCTATTGGAGAGTTGCTCGGCGCGGCGTCGTTCATCGTGTCCTGCGTCGTGGGCTCGATGTGCATCATCAAGCCCTTCAGGATAAACCGCGGACCGTTCCTCAGGGATATCGGATTCTTCACGACCGCCGTCGCAATGCTGCTCGGCATACTCATCGACGGAACTATCCATACTTGGGAGTCTCTGTCGCTCGTGGCGCTCTACGTGGTGTATGTCATTACGGTCATTGTCGGGAGTTGGTGGGAAAGGAGAAGGGAGAGGAAGAGGTGGTTTGAGAATAGGATACGGAGCGAGTACGCGGAGGATGATGAGCCCGCGACGTACTTCGAGGACGAGCCGTACCACGATGATCGTCAGTGTCTTCCTTCCGAACGCAGAAGACTCCTAGCTGAATGAACATGTAGCATCATCGCGTACTCCGACACCAGACCTCCTCGTACCACCCACACCACACGGCCGTCCACGCTCGACATCCCATCCAGGACCTCCGCGCCTAGGCGTCCAAACGGATATCCCCCGCTCGCGCTCACACGCCCGCTCAGGCTCCGAATCAACAAACCTCTCAGTCCCATCAACAGGCCATTCACCAATGACACACCTCCCATCATTCTCACTCGTCGGCGCACTCGAGTTCAGACACGTAATCGCAGGTCTACAAAGTCAAGCGGCGGGCTCGAGTCTGAGCGTGTTCGAATCGCCACATGCGCCTTACCCTGGAGGGCATTATCATGGACATGGATCAAGACCGCGCACGCCGACACCGCAGGGCGCGTTGGATGAGGAGCTGAACCCGTGGGATGCGGCGTTAGGCGCTGTGCCGCTTGATGAGCGCTCGCGCGCGGCGCCACCTTCTACGCCGGGGATCACGATTGACGGAGAGGAAAGTCTGGCAGGATCGGTGCCGACTATCATTCGCACACCCGCGTCGCCCGTCATTCAGCCTGACGTTGAGCGCCCGTCGAAACGACGGCGCGCGTTGAATGCGGTGCATAAGACGCTTCATATACTCTTCCCGACTCTACACGACTTCGGGTGCAAGTCCTACGCCGGGATGGTCGCGTCCGTATTTGCCGCACCGGCTGTGTTCGCGTTGACGCTCACGTTGCCCGTCATCGTCATGCCGTACGACAGCTCGTCGTTGCACCATGAGAAGGCGATCATGAGCACGGATCCGTTGATCCAGTTCGAGGAGGAGGGCGTAGAGAGGGCGTTGATGGGTGAGGAAGAGGTCACGGAGGAGATGCATGCCAACCCGCTCGAGTTCAACAAGTGGCTTATGGGCGCGCAGTGTACGCTGGGACCGATGTTCTGCGTGGGGGTGTTGTTCAAGGGGAGGGAGTACCTTTGGTGGGTGTTGCTTGGGGCGGGGATCGTGGGGTTGGCGGTGGGGACGCTTGTGGTGGCGTTTGCGAGGGATGGAGAGCATAGGGTTAGTCGGGCGGCGAGGTGTAGTATGGGGTTCTTTGTGGCGATGGTGTGGATTATGGCGATTGCGGATGAGGTTGTGAATGTGCTCCAGGTGTGTACGGGTTGGAGATTACTTTGAAATGGCGCTGACCCCTCCATAGACATTCGGCTTCATCTTTGGGTTGTCTGATGCCATCATCGGCCTGACTATCTTCGCCGTTGGAAACTCGTTGGCCGATCTCGTAGCCAACATGAGCGTCGCCGTACGATTCCTCTACCCCTTCTCTGCGTTCTCCATCTGACTGATGGATCACAGGTATTCGCTCCCATCATGGGCTTCTCTGCCTGCTTCGGCGGTCCCATGCTCAACATGCTCCTCGGCGTCGGCATCTCCGGCTCCTACATCACCTCCCAAACCGGCGTACCCTACCACCTACACTTCAGCACCACGCTCTTAGTATCCGCCATCGGACTACTGGTCTTGTTGCTGGTGACGGCGGTGTTCGTGCCGATGAATGGTTACTTCTTGCCGAGGGCGTGGGGAGTGACTTTGATCGCGGCGTATGCGGCGCTTATGACGGTCAATGTTGTTGTGGAGGTGCTCAGCGAGAGCTGAGGGGAAGGGGAAGGATGGACTGTGTTATCTATGGGTGCTCTTGTTTGTACGTCCTGTGCGCATCTTCTACATACCCTAACCACTTCTTGTTTGCGGACAATGTGCCATGTATTGCTAGCTTTCGAATGTGAACTGTTGCATTCTACCCGTGCGTCAGCGTGTCCGCTACTTCAACCTTCCCTCTGCGCTCGCGAGCATCCTGTCAACCGGTACACAAAACTGCGAGCGTTGTACTACTTCGCGCTCATCGCGTCTCTTGTCTCCTTTCATCACCGCTGGTCGCTGTCTCTGGTCATCCACCTCTTTGGAATCTCCCCACACGCTCCCTCAACCAATTTCACTCGTCATGCTTCACCGCGCGCTAGCCGTCTCACTCCTCGCCGCCGCCGCTGCCATGGTCAACGCGGCGCCAAATTCGCCAGCGCCGTCTCCTTCGGAATCGAAGGCGCCTGCGCCGTCCGGCACGCCGGTGGCGCCTGCTAGCAGCGTCAAGCCTGTGAGCAACGTGGGCGCCGGACAACCTATGATGATCAACACTCCGTGAGTCCCTCTTCAGACTCCATCGTACCCGGCATTACTGATCTGGATACTATAGTTCGACCGTTCTCGAGTGCCGTGCGTATCAAGTGAACAAAATATGCTCGATATGATGTGCTGATCCGTCTCGTAGAGCCTGTACAGTTCAGCTGGACCGGCGGTCTCGGACCGTACTACCTCGCCATTATCCCCGGCGACCAGCCGTTCGCTCCGCCTATGCGTCGCTTCCCTACGCAGAATGGGACGACGTTCACTTGGAACGCTGATCTTCCCGCCAACACCAAATTGTACGTCTCGCTGGTCCCATCAAGGAAGAGAGCTCGAGCTGATGATGACCGCGGTGAATAGCAACTTGCTTCTTCGCGATTCGACGGGTGCGCAGGCGTACTCGGCGACGGTCACTGAAGGGGAGGGGAACGATAAGAGGTACGCTATGATAGTCGCGTCCAGTGCATCCCGTTCTGACAACGATTCACAGTTGCGAGAAGCCCATCACCGCCGTATCCGCCGCGAGCGGTGCAACCTAGTACGTCCCTACCTTCCTAAGGCTCAGTATACCTCACTAACACGCCGGTTGCAGTGCGCCCGCCGCATCCGGTGGAGTGCAGAACGGCGCCGTGAACGCAGCAGCGAACATCACCGCCGGCGCGCATCCCACCGCCACGGCGAGCTTGATCGGCTCTTCGGCAACGCAGCATGCTAAGAGCGCCGCGGTACGCGCTATTGGAGATAAGATACACGGTGTTGAGCTGCTTTGGGTGTTTACTATGGGTGTTACTGCGATTTTGATGCTGTAAACCGGAACTATTTCACCTTCGGCTTGGAAGGAGAGGACACTGGAGCAACGTTATTCTAACACAGACTATGTATACCAGCTCTACAGAGCGTTATTTTGACCTTACACTACTACTATGCACACCTCATGTTGATGTAACGGGCTGAAGGAGCGGTGTTGCTACAACGGTCGTGCACGCGCGCCGAACGCGTCTCCGCCCATTCGTGCCAAACCACCATCATCCATTGGGTGCACCTCCCACAGCGCTCAACTCACGCTTGCTACATTCGAGGGAAGAAAAACTTGCTGTGGTGTATATCAATGGTCCTTGCTGTTCGACGTCCCGACATCCGGCGATGCTTCAGTTTAAGTCGTAAGCTTATAGGCGGTCTTGTTTGACCTGAACACCGCCCGACATCCACCATCTTGATTCTTGCATTATCCTGCGTCTTCGCCCACTTTGCAACGGACGCGCTATGGGATGGAGAATATCACATGCTACCAGCACTGTGCTCCGCAGCGGCAGACAGCGGGCAGACTCAAGACGGACGGAGATGTGAGCTGGGCTGAGCATTGGTCCAAGACATGGCCTTCCTCGTCTATATCTCTCCGCTCCATCCGGGACAGACTCCCCATCGACATTCGCGCCCAGCCACTCGAAGACTACCAACTCTCCAACCACTACCACAATAACAATGTCGGCCATTACCTTCTACTCTGTCCTTTGCTTTTTTGGTCTTGACCTCCTGGCCAACGACGTCCGACGCCTCGAGTCTTCTGCTCGGATGTCTCTCCTGGTACTCTTCTTCGCTTGCGAGATACTATTACCCTGGGGCATTATCCTGTCCACAATCGCCTTCGTCATCCTCGGCTACCCGGTCATGGTTAACATCGTGAACTACATCGTTTGCGCATGGGTATGTCCGACCTCTCTTCATCGCGAAACAAGATGCTTACAATTCGATCCAGACTACTTACCGGGAAAGGAAGGCCGCAATTGAGCGCGCTCGCCGCGCGGAATCGTCCAACCTTCGCCGCACCAACGCCTACCTCGACGGTCTCTTGGTGAAGTGGCACCACGCTTACGGGGCTCTTCTCGACACTATCCGGGAGACCAACCTCAAACTCGAGGGTTGGAAGCGGAAGGCCGAGGCGCTACAGAGTGCAGTTGCGGGCAAGGAGGGCGTGATCGCCAAGCTACACCATGAAATCAAGGTCCGTCTCTGCGCTCCATTCGCATGATGTATTTTGTACTCATTTCTATCAGGTCCAACAGGCGAAGACGGCTACCGCCGAGAAGTGGCGCAACAGGATCGAAAAGCGAGCCGTCCAATTTCGTGCGGAGGCGCTGGAGTGGAAGCTCAAGGCCGAGCAATTAGGCGAGGAGGTACGAGCGCGCGACGCCCAAGACGAGTTGCGCGGTACTTCACCACTTCAGTCTATCGAACACGACGCGCCACCGGCACAGCTTCCCGCGTGCGAGACCGAGGTCGGGGAGCCAGCGCCCATCATCACCTACGTAGAGGAGTGCACTCCCGCTGACCAGGAGACATCCCCATCCCTCACGGACGCGGCGCTCGACGTTGCGGAGCAGGCCGCACTTGGCCTGCAGGACGACGCTCAGACCTCACGTTCCGGAAATGGGGACGACCACCCCTCGGTTGTCCCGGTCGACAGCGTCGATACGCTTTCTGCATCGGAACAGGATCAGACGGCCGAGAAGATTATCTGCGTGAGCAACTCGCTCCGCATGGGCATTGACAAGGTCGTGGCGGTGGGGCAAGCGGAAACGCTGCCTGCTCCGTCCCTGTCTTCGCCAGTTTCTTCAGTCGACTCTGACTCCGAATCCGACACGTCGTTCTCCTTCGTCAGCGATGCTTCCTCCGACGAGTACTCAGTGCTGGAGGGCGTTTGTCTGCCGCCCCTCGGTTCTACCGAGGAACTGAGCGCCATCGCCCCGTCCATTTGTGGATCGGTAGAGCCTTCCGGCCTCATCCAGCACTCGACTTTCCCCTCGGCCAGCCTGTCAGTCGTGCGCCACACGCTCACGACGTCGACTTCTGCCGAGCTCTCGTCTTCCGAGATGGGCGTGGCTTTCGTCGCCACGTCCTCTCCCGCGCTCCCCTTCAACGTTCTTCTTCGTGCTCTTGGGCACTTGCGGGCGGTTCTCGTCTCGCATCTTCGCTTCGCGCTCTGCGCTCTATGAAGCCTAGACTCCGGTCCCCAACTTGGCACTCTCCATTCGCGTTCTTCATCCCACTCTTCCATTGCCTGCTCAAAGACTCCGCCCTCGGGGGTCTTCCACGCGGACGTCAGATCTACAGTAGCATTACCAGACCCTATACCCATATACCCTCACGGGTTCTATATTATCTGAAACGTCTTCTGAAACCAGTGTGAAGTATGAAGCCATCAGACGTAGTCTCTATAGACGAGAAGGTATTTGAGCAGTCATCTGAGCCACTACCTTGGCGGACGAGTGAGGAATTATATTCAAACGGCATAATAGGCTTGAGATACTCGGGCGGGCGAGACAGAAGAGGAGTACAAAAGGCTCGAGGGCTGAAGAAGAGCTGCGGCAAACGCCGATCGGCTTTAGCGGTGCAAGTGGCCGAGGCTGGGGTAATAACGCGCGTGGCTCTGTAGCCTGCCCTCTTACCACCATGAGCGCTGGAAACGCTTACCAGCCCTACTCATGGCACCAAGTGAGTGCTTGGCAATGCCTAATGTCCTAGCGTTAGTGGCTGATACCTCCATGTAGTCTCACGACCAGGCAAGTGCTAGTGCACATCGGTGTGACTGCGGCTGTCCTTATATGTCCTTCTCAGGCGACTGTATTGCTTATTCTGCCGTATGATGCAGCGGAGGAAGATGTTCAAGTGTGTCTATGACTGACACCTCCCAGTACTGGGCGCTAATGACTCTGTGTGCAGGTGGTCCTTGATGGAACCCATCTCATTGCCGGTGTACTCGGAGAACCGCCGCTGATCAAGGTTACTACTTCCTCACTGGACGCGAGAGTCACGCTGACGGAAAGAAATTAGGGCCGACTTTATGCTCCTATCGATCTTTCACATTCTGACTGGTTACTGGAGCCCACTTCGCCACATCTCTCTGCACGCGAACGCACCATCTCCACAACCTCCACTACTTCCACTCGGTCCTCCTTTGCTCTTGTATCTTCCGACCCCGACGTGGAGATCACAAGCTCTTTCGCCGCATCCCTCGCCAGTGGACCGAGCTCCGATACGGATGAAGCTGTATCACCTTCGCACTCTTCGCCGCATTCGTCCGCAGACGAGCGTCATGCTGGCTTTACAACGGTTCCGCGTCGCAGGCGCAGAACTATCGTTGCCAATTCAGCTCGCACAACCTCTCCACATAGTCTCGCCTCCTCGCACTCGTCTCTCAACTCGGCACGTCGCGGACAGGGTCGTCTGCTGACATTGCATCTCGAAAAGGCTGACAGCGCAATCTGGCCGGCGCTGATCGTCGGACCTGCGCCAGCGCTACTCAGCTCGCCGCCTCTCGGTCCCTCTCCGCCAGACATGGAGGCCGCATACAACATGGACCCCACCAGTCTCGCACTACTGGGATTAGAATTGGCGGACGTGCGCGAGGACGCTGACCGCGCCTTCGAATGCTTCCTGTACGTATACCCCAACACTCACCCAATGGCCGCCCCAGACTGATGCAGAACCCCCGCAGTCGTTCGTGGTTACATGCGCAAGTGCCTTCAGCTGCAATGCGCTTGGCCGCCCATTACGTCCCACCACATGCACTACCGGCCGACGATCTATCTACACTCCCCGAACAGGACCGAAGAGCATACTACATACGCGCTTTGGGCGGCCCAGCAGCACTTGCGCATCTCTATCATACGGTCGGCCTACTGCACTTGGAGGGGACGGCACGATCTCTTTTGGCGTCCTCTCATGCTGCGTTAGCATCGATACGCTTACCAGAGCCCACTGGTTCGGGATCAGCGGGCGGCGCCGCGGCTTGGAAACGCGATCGTGCCGCTGCCAACTGCTACTTCGAACGCGCTCGCGCTCTGGCGCCCGACTTGGATATACCATTGCTTCTGCCCGAGCCCGAGGCAAAGAGCCCAGAACCTGTCAAGTTTGATATGCCTATTATCGACCTGCCGGGCAAGCAAGAGTTGGTTCCCATACGCAAATCAAGGCAAGCGGTGGACGAGGATGTGGATGGGACATGGTACTTGTACATACCAGGGCTAGTCGGGGCCGGCACTGCATTACTGGTCGTTGGCGTGGTCGGAGCGATATCGTTGTCGAATTGGAGGAAAAATCAGAGTTGAACGTTGGACATCGCTTTGCTATCTTGCTCTTTTCTGCACATCTTGTTATCTGTATCTGTAAACTGATTGCGTATATACGGTTCTTTACGACATGCTACGATTTCGCTGGTACCTATCTCATCGCTATTGACCTGGTTACACTTGAATATCATACGAACAATTACCTATGCCTACATATTACGTTGGGTCCGGGCGCTCAGCTGATTCCTGCACGCGGCGCGGCTTCTTCGCTCACGCGACGATCATGGCTACCGAAGCTCGGCACTGGGCCACACCCTTCCTCTCAGGGCACCACGATGAGCATCGCGCACAAGATGCGAGACCGTTGGCCTTGATAATCCTAAATCAACCTTTCTCGCTCGGACTTCTCCGTCGTGTATGGAACGCGAGTAGCTGGCGCGCATGTGCTGATGGCGGTGCGAACCGGCTCTACGATGTGTTGACTTCTGCTTCCGTGCCTACTTCGAACGCAAGTAGCAGGTTTGTATCTCATTTCCCGTACCAACTCGGCTCGCAGAACAGTACCTACCCGATCTCATCAAAGGCGACTTGGACTCCTTGCGCGATGATGTTCGCCGCCACTATTTCGATCAGGTGCGCACATACACTACTCGACCGCGGGCCCCTCATTGAAGCGGCTTGCGCAGGACATTCCCGTAATCAAGGACTCGAACGAGTACACCACGGATCTGATGAAGTGCCTAGAGAGCCTCCAGGAGCTCGAGAAGGAGGGCCAGGTACGTATCTCCGTGTCTCATCGAAAGCCGAGCTGACCGCTCCGTCCACAGACGTACGATGTACTACTACTTGGTGGCCTGTCCGGTCGACTAGACCAGACAGTCCATACTCTGCACTATCTACACAAACTCCGGCGTACCGGAAGGCGCGTGTTCGCCGTCACCGACGATAACGTTGGCTGGGTTCTCGATGCTGTATGTCCATTCGCGTCCTGATGAACGTCACTCTGACCCGTGACTGGTCGTAGGGGGAACACTACATCACTATTGATCATGCTGCACTTGGCAAGACGTGTGGCCTATTACCCGTGGGTGTTGACAGCACTATCCTCTCTACCAAAGGCCTCGAGTGGAATCTAGGTGACTACGTTTACCCACATCTCAGTCCTTTCGGCTTCTAATGTTCGCCGCAGATGAAGCAGAGTCGAGTTTCGAAGGGCTCGTCTCGACGTCGAACCACTTGATGCCCGGGCAAGATGTCTGGGTGCGCACATCAAGACCGATTTGGTGGACCGCCGAGCTTCGACCAATTGCATAGAGAATAATCGGTATCTGAATGTGTGTATCATCCTAGAGTACCTGTCAATTCATGACCTGGGAATGCCAGTGCGTTGTCTTCCGTACCCAAATTCCGGCGTTTCCGGTGAAGCCGTGTAACCCGAAGCGATGGGCGATCATATAGAGATGGCACGTACGCGTGGAAAGTCGCGACGTGTCCTGTTCTTGACCACCATCTGGCCGTAGACTGTCGACTCTGAGACACTCAGCACTCAGCACTCAGCACCTCCGATCACTGCTTGTCTCTCTCGTAGACTCTGCTGAGATGAATGGTGATCTGCCGTCTGAACTGCTGCTAAAGATATTCATCGAGGTTCGCAACGCGTGCCCTGCCGGTTGGAAGAAGCGACCATCATGTTGGGCGTTGTCTCACGCGTGTAGGCGATGGAGGATGTTGGCATTGGATAGCAGCGTACTTTGGACGCAGCTGCCCCTTGAGAGCTCGAAATGGGTCGAGGCCTGTTTATCGAGATCTCGCGACGGTAGCCTGGAGGTCAAGGCGGACCCCATCATGCCCGAGAGTCATGCCGAGCGTGGATCTTTGAGGTTGCTTTACCACGAGCTTCATCGCATCGAATCATTCGAATTCGTGACGAAGATCGACCACAAACAATGGACGGAGCTGGTTATGGAGGTTTTCGATGGTCTTCACCTGCATCCAGCGCCCAGATTGCGCAAGCTGAAGATCAGCATCCTTGACGGTCATGATGTAACGAGAGGTCCTATCTCACTATCGGGCATGTTCAAGTCACAGCAACTCCTGGCGCTAGAGTCCGCCATCTTTGGCAACTGCAACTTGACCGCGCGATGGTCAAAGACCATGTTCCCCTCTACACTGCGGTCCCTCACGCTGTGCCAATCAACGGCTTGGAAGAGTAGTGACGAGATGGTGGAGTTCTTCCAGCTGGTCCCAAATCTTCAGTCGTTGGACTTGAACGTCGTTCCTTCGGGCACGCATGGCTTTCATGCGTCCAGATCGCCCAAGTATTCACGGAGGGCCGCATCGCTTCCTAAGCTCGAGACTTTCAGTCTCGCCATACGATTCGTGGAGCAGGTGGCAGCGCTCACGTACTTGTCCATCCCTTTGACGGCATCGCTGAGAGTGCGTGCGATTGCGGGAGACAAGGAGCTGATGAAGTCGGACGATGCCGTGCTTACGGGCGCGATCGACCAAGGCACCGATGCCTACCGAGAGCACTTCGCTACTGCTGTTGCGGATGGCCATGGCTACACCCAGCTGAGGGCCAGTTCCACTGGCATAGAGGCATCATCTCCGTATCGTGGCGAGGCCCACCAGGACGGGCTGCCTCGGGCGCTGCAGACACTCGCCCCGCCCGATCTGGGGCCTCTCGACCTCCACTTCAACCATCCGAGGGCTAGTCCTCATCTTCTGGGACGGGCGTACGGGATGATTCTGGAGCAGCCCGTCTTTGCGACCGTCAGATCGTTACAGGTCATTAGCGGACTGCCCCAGGAAGCGTGGACATGTTTCGAGCGGTACACGGCCGTCGAGGAGCTCGAGCTCTCCCAGTCCGCTGGGATCAGCGCCCTGCCGGGCTTTGTCGCTGCAATCAACAGGCAGACATTCCCACTATTCCCGGCATTGGGTACCCTGCGCATCGTGGAAACGGCGATAGTGCAGCCGGACGAGTTGCAGCCCGACTTTGAAGGGTCTGGGTCTAACGAACACGTTCATGGCGAAGGCCGGTACGGGGCGGATGCGAGGGGCTTTGTAGACGCCATGAAGATACTCGCTTCTTACGAGCACTTTGAGCGGCTGGTCTTTAGCGGATGCACCATGTCCTCGCAAACCTTACAAGCTGTGAAGGGTGTTCTCGGAGACGAGCGTGTCGAGGGCGACGTCTTGAGCGTCGAGGAGGTTCCGGGCACCGGAGAAGATACATAACCCTCTTGACGCAGTTGAATAGAGTTGGGACGGAAATCGAACGGAGGTGTTGTACGTGTAAACAGCAGGTGCTGCCGCTGATGGATATCGTTGTCTGTAGAAGTGCTGCACTCTGTTGTCTCGATGAGCGGTGTAGCCAATTCGTGTAGCGAAGGAACGACGTACGGTTCACCGGATAATGGATGCCCGTGAAATGTGTACTCTATCCAATGGTGTCAGAACTAACTCTTCATGAGCCGTATGACGAGTGATAAAGGAAGATCAGCCAGAAGCGCAAGGCTCACTAAGACCGAGAGTGAACGCTAGCAAGAGCACCGAGAAAGCAAGATACAACCCCAGCGCAACAACACACCTACGACGTGATCGCACCCACTCGCGCCAGCCCGAGTCAGGACGGTAAAAAAGCGAGTCATATTGTAAGTATAAACAACCGCGAATAAGCAACACAAGTTGTAAGGAGCGTAGGTATGTACGATGGACGGGGGTCAGACAGAAGCAGGCAACGGCATCGGCAATATAAATCGGAGACGGCGACGAGAGAACATAAAGTAAAGAAGCAAGCAATCGTTGGATGTCGCAGTGGAAGCGTATATATGCAGCAGCAGCAGTGTAGTTGAACGTGGGAGAGTGAATAATGCGCTGTGGGGGAAGCAAGAATGTGGGGGCCAAGTGCTGAATTGTGCAGTGAGACTGGTTGGGTAGTAATGCGAGGGTTGTGAGGGATATACGTAAATGTGTGATCGAGACTGGGATGGAGAAGGAGACACAGGGCGGACAGGACAGACAGGTTTCAAGATGTGATTCGGAGATGGGAGCACGAATACGGGCACGAAGACTGGATCAGAATGGAGAGAACCAAGAGGGTATATCGAGCCGCACGAGACAAGATGGACAGAAAAAACAGACACCGGTAGCCGACAGTCACCAAAACCAGACGGAAAAGCAAACACCACGCCCTCTAGAGCCTCTTCTTAGCTCTCGCTCCGCACGCTCCTCCCCCGACTCCGGCTCCGCGTCCGCGTACTAGCCGCGATCCGGCTCATCGCCTCCCTCTCCGCGGCCATATGCCGCACCAGCATCCCGTCCAGCCTCAGCATGCTCGGCGTGCGCCCCACGCCTTTGCCCTGCGACCCCTGCGCCTGCGACTGCGAGTGCGAGTCCGTCGAGCCGTGCCCGTCATCGGACGACGCGACACCCGGGGAAGGCGGCGTGGGCGCGGCGGCCGATACACCGCTGAGCGCTGCGACGAGTCCACCACCCACACCAGCGCCCGGCGTACTCCCTCCACCGATACCCCGACCGCCCTTGATCCCCTTCCGCGGCGGCGTATTCCCAACCGGCATCCGATGGCTCTCCGGTATACTCGGCACGACAGAATGCAGGCTGTCCGTGCTCGCGCTGAACCGCCCGCCGAGGCTCGCGCCGCCCTGGATGCTCGGCGGCGGGTACGCGCGCAGCGATTGCGGGGAAGAGTGATACGACGAAGGCGGCGGTGGATGGTGCGCGTGCGCGTGTGGATTGGAGTGGGGGTGCGGGTCGGGCGTGCGCCAGCCAGTGACAGAGCCGTAGTCGGACGTGCTCGCGCTCGACGCGCTCCGCCGTCCGCTGATCGCATGGGAGTCGTCGTCGTCGTCGTCCCATGCTTCGACATCGTACCCGCCCAAAGCTGCGGCGCTCTGAACGGCGTCGAAGAAGCCGATGCTGTCCCCGCCCGGCGCCGGCCCGGACGCGAGCGCGCGCGCGATGGTCGCGCCGGGCACTTGGAGCTGTGCCGAGAGGCCCGTTGTGCGTGCGTGGCGCCGGTGGCGGGAGTGGGAGCGCGAGGAGGGCGAGGAGAGGTAGGATGTGGAGGCTGAGGAGGACAGGGAGGATGTTGAGACTCGTGGAGGTGCCGGGGCGGGGAGGGAGGAGGATGTGGTCGGGCGGCCGCGCGCGGGGGAGGGGATGCGCAGGTCGCGGGGTGGTGGGTGCGGACTGGCGCGCGGGCTGCGGTTTGGACTGGGACTTGGGGAGAGGCGGGGCGCGTTGAGGTCGAGCGCGGAGACGAAGGGCGTGCCGTGGGCGTGGCCTGGGTCTGAGGAGGAGAGGGAGGGGTTCGGGCTGGAGGGTGCGACGGAGAGCGTCGGCATTAGAGGCGTCGGTGCTGTCTGTAGACGCTTCACGGCGGGTTTTCGGGGCGAACGCGGGGCGGGTGTTAGAGGTGTCGGTGCACCGAGCGAAGACGAAACGCGCGGCGGAGGCGTCTCGTGGACCCGAGGTATTGGTAAAGGCGGCACAGGTGGGGGATACATGTTATCCGGCTCGTCGCTCAGCTCGAGGAACGACGACTGCGACTCTGCGCGCGACGAATGCGAGAGCGAGGACGTTGACCGTCGGCCGTCGCGGAATGCGCTGCGTGTGGGGCTCGGCTGGCTGTACGCGCTCGTACTGGCGTGGTCAGAGTGACTGCGGCCGCGCCCGCTCTCGAATGTGCCGGTCGTGCCAGAGCTCGGGTGCGGCATGTGCGAGTGGGAGAAGCTGGCGGTTGTTGGGCTCATGGTGGGACTCATGAGGCCGCCGTAGGCGCTTTCGGGTGGAGGTGACATTGGCATTTCGGCGTAGGAGGCGGACGTCGAGGACTTTGTGTGTGCGGAGTCTAGGCTGTGTTTGGGGACGTGCGCAGCGGATGACGAGGGTATGAGCGGTGGAGGTGTCAGAGCTGGTGGGCCCGTATACGCGTATTGCTCGTGCATGTGCGGTGAGCTTGATGCACGACGCATGCTCAGCGCTGGCGTCGAACGAGTCGTTTTTGCTGTATACGCCGAACGGGTACTCTGTGCTGAGCGCGTGGATGGCGATGGCGAAGGCGCGCGCATAGCCGATTTGAGTTTGGGAGGAGGCGCGAGCGGCGTATGCGGCTGTTGTGGGCTATCTGCGCGCAAAGGCACAACGGGGACGACGCCTTTACGACCTTTTGTCTGAGGTGCACCGCGGTTGTAGTGTGCGCGTGTGTCTGGCGCTGAAGCCCGTGTGCGCAGAGGCGGTGGAATCGGTACGCCAGTTTCTGCCAGATCCTGCAGGCGCTCTGGTTGCATGATGCGTCGCGAGACAGCTGGAGTGCTGTTCAAGCTCATGAGGTTGCTGCTGGTTGTACGGCTGCGAAGACCGGTGCTGGGTGCAGGTGTACTGTTCAGAGAATGCGAGACGGCTTTGCTGAGTAGATCGGAGCGCCAGGCTTCTTCGTCGGGATCGAGACTCCAGAGACCGGGTGTACCAGGCGGGACGAGACGGTCTGCGAGAACAGCAGCACCGAGAGATTGGTCGACACCCAAGCCGGCGAGATTTGATGCCTGGAGGCCGAGATCGAACACAGATGGGGCAGCTTGGCGGGGCGGGAGGTCTACCGCATCTGTCGGGTCGATGACAGCGCTGTCTGGCGGTGGTGTCACGGGCGAGGCACCGGTCGAGTGTAGATCGCGTTCGGCGGCCTGTGCGGCCAGGGACAGGTCGTCGAGCGTTTCTTTCACCACGGCAACTCGATTGACGGGCGCACGAGCCAGAAGAGGAGACCGCGGAGGAGTGCCGCCACGCGAGGGCGCCGTCCACGGTCTGGGCGGGAGAGGCCCGCTGGTGTTCTCGCCCGTTGTGCGGAGGGCGGGGAGCGGCATTACCTCGGCTGGAGAGGCGGGCGCGGCGGGCGAACTGCCGCTCGACTTGCTCTTCGACCGCGGCCGGAAGATGCCGGCGAACAGGCCCGGTTTTGGCGGCTGGGCGGGCAGAGAGGGCGAGGGCAGGGCGGGCTTGGCGTGTGCGGGCGGGAGGAAGTACTGGTTGGAGAGCAGCAGCTTTAGACGCTCGTCGACGCTGTCCGGATCAAAGTCCTCCGAGCTGTCCGCCACGGCGACGGGCTGCATCAGCTGCTGGGCGGAGAGCGAGTCTGCGATGGACCGCGGCGAGGGCGGGCTGTCCGTCGACGAGGAGGGCGGGTAGAGGGAGCTGCTGGTCGCTGTGATGTACGACTCGCGCAGTCTCTGGCGCGCCTCTCTGAGCGAGGCAAAGTTGGCGGCCGTCTGCATGCCGAATATGGCGTCTGTGGGGCTGCTGGCGGAGGAGAGGTAGGAGAGGCGGTATGCGTCCCTGGGCACGCTCGACCCGCGCTTTCTTCGCCGCCGCTGCCAGGAATATTAGCGATCGACAAACAAAAGGGTATCCGACTGGCCGCACCTCGCGCACGTCCTCCTCCGCCGTCTCCTGGCTGTGTCCCACGACGCTCGCCAGCGGCGTCGTCGAGCTATTATCCCCGCCCGCGCTCGAGCTGAACTTCTCAAAGAAGGCAGAGCCCGCCGTCGTCCGCAGCGGCGATCGCGGAGGCCGGTCCGGCGCCGGCCCCTCCGCGCTGTCCAGCAGTTGCGGCACACCGGCGCCCACGCTCTTCCCGCGCTCCCGCCTGGCCGAGGACGCGGTGGTCTGCAGCGTCAGCGCCCGTTGCCGTCCGCGCCCTATCCGCGGCCGTCGCGTCAGTGAGGCCGAGGAGGACACTTCGTCGTCCGAGGGCGCCGTGGCCGCTGGGAATGCCGTCGCCGGGGATGGGCCGCTCATCGTCGTCGTCGTCGCGTTCCGACGTCTGACTCTGGGCACGACTGGGAGACACGAGGAGCAGAGGCAAGTGGCCGAGTGAGACGTCGGCCCGTCCGGGTGTTGGGACGCCGTTGACAGCTAGTCGTGCCTGGCTTCAACTCCAGATTCGCGGTCACGCGATTTTACGTTCGACTTTTCCCGCCCTCGGCGATCAAGCGGTCAACGCGAGTGTTTTCTGTACACGAAAGCCGTAGATGTATAGCACAGTATAAAACAAAGGCGAGCGAGGATCGATTGATGGGTACCGTATCAGAGAGCGCTACAAGTACTATAGCCCCCGCGATAGAATTCCTGTTCTTATACAGCCGCCGGGATACAATATAACTACGTTTGGGCAAGGAGATCTGTACGGACTTAACGGGCGCATCCTCCGCCTCAGCTATCATACGAGCGGCAAGGTTCAGCGTGTCAGCGTGAAAGAGAAGCGGGGAAGCAAGCGAAAATATGATGGGAGGGCAACGGAGAAGCCTTCCTTCTCGGCAGAGTCCGCGCTCTCAGGGTTGGGATGCGGAGATGACGAGGAAGAGGGTACGCGGGGTTACGGTTGGGCCGATTGTGGGATGAAGGGAAGGGTGTCGTGGGCGAGGATCGGAGGCGAGGGGCACGAGGGGAGAGGGACGGGCCGGGGGTGTTGAGCGTGAGCCTTGAGGGTGCTGTGAAGGTTTTGCGGAGGGCAAGCGTATGGGATAGACGCTGTGATGTCGAGGAAAGGGCATTGCTTGCCGCCCATCGTTATGGGGTCCGGGCGCAAGTGCGCGAGCGCGCGCTAATCGGAAAGCGCGGGTCGTGATACCCGCGCCGTGGGGAGAACCTCACAGAAGGCAAACACTTTGAGCAGCAGTCGTCGACTTTCAAGTTCATACTTATCGTAGAGCTGGCTACACGATCCCTCGGCGCAGGTGGTCGTCCGCCGCAAACGCACGCAGAGTTCGAGGACAAGACACGCCCTCGCCCGGCCCGAACGGCCGAATCGCTCGCCAGCGCGACACGCGATCACGCGTCTTTCCGAGCACACCTCTCCTCGTCCCACCATGTCCGCGTCCGCCTTCCTCGACACCTGTGCGTCTTCTCCCTTTCCTTTCGTCCCTCGCCTCCTCTCTCCGCATCACATCTCTCAGTTGGACAACCACGAACCCGCGCCGTACTAATCCCGCACCAACAGGGATCCCCGCCGGCGCCCTCCCAAAATGGCAGCTCTTCATAGGCTTCACGGCGCTCTTCAACACCGCGCAGAACTTCCTGACTCTGAACTTCACGAGGAGGATATACAACGGCACGCCGCCGAACGAGCCCGTCACGCGCTTGCAGGCGCGGACGTTCGGGGTGTGGACGCTGGCGAGCGGGCTGGTGCGGCTGTATGCGGCGTATCATATTCATAATAAGCAGTGCGTATATTTTTCGTTTGCATCGGCTGTGCTTTTGGAGTGTGTGTTGGGAGATGAGGCTGATGGGATGGGTGTTGGTGTAGGGTGTACGATCTCGCGCTGTTCACGTACCTGCTCGCGTTCTGCCATTTCGGCTCGGAGATCTTCGTTTACCGCACCGCGCGGTTCTTCGGGCCGGTGATTACCACCGTCATCGTATCCAGTACGTGCCCTTCCCCACTGTCACGCCTCATCTTCTCGTGAACTATTCGTGCTTGCGTGCTCGCTCTCGATTCGTTGCCGATGCACTTGACGTGCTAGATTTCGCAGTTCTGGTCTTTCGTTGGCCGAAGGTTATGAGATTGTGAGCTGATGTATTGCCCTTTTTGTTATAGCGACATCCTTGGTGTGGATGATCTCGCAGTACGACTACTACGTCAAGACCTCGATCTAGATATGCTCTTGCTGGTCATCTCCCGAAATATAGTATAACTCCTTGTGTTATGCCCGTGCTCGGAAAGTGATGAATATGTGGACTGGTTACGGAGATACGAGATGTATTGGGGTGCCCTGCTCTCGGCAGCTTCTGCTGGCTTTATTGTTGGCCATGTCAGCCTCGTCAATCATCATGTGCCATCTCGGGTTGGTCCAAGCAGATCATCTGCTTACACCACGGGGGGTAGTCTTGTTACCAGTCTACTGCCACAAGAGTTTGCGAGGGGGTTTCTCTGCCACAGCAGTCTGGAGGAACTAGCAATAGCACTATGCTAGTTTTGGCAGATAGCTTTGCTCATATTGGGGAAAAAGAAAGAATGTGGGTCAGGCTGCCTGCCAGCAACATGCCGAGAAAATGTATTGCACTCTTGACAGATCTTTCCCCCCACTGGAAGAGGAAAACTGCAAGGGAGAAGATCATGACTCTGACCACCACCATCTCTCTGTGCTTTTAACTTTCCCATGCCTGCCCATCCCCAGTGAGAACCTGCACCATGTGCGAACATGACAAAACATGTAGCCACATGTAGGGACATCTCACGGCAGTCCCACATCAGGGAAACACCCCCTTGCTAAGGGGCACTTAGGGATGCTCAGGGGCACTTCCTGAGAGGGCCTGAGCAGGCCTGAGCATTCCTAAGCCCTGAGCTGCTCTGAGTCGCCCTAAGCCAGGTTTGGATTTTTTGCAATTCAGCACCAACTCAGCACAGTCTCAACACGCACTCAGTGCACCTTACCGTAGCCTCACGAGAGCTATTTGGGACTATATTGTGCCTCTTAATTATGATCATTGAGTTCACACAATTATTAAGAAGTTCAAATATTTTTATTTCTTGCACGTGATATCCTACTACACGAACACAAGGGGTCGCATATACAACATATACTACTCATGGAAACCAGGCATACTGTCTTATTTCGACCCGAAGTTCGTAACGCGTAACGCGGACTTCTGGATCGAACCTACTGGAGGTTCGGTAACGGGTAACGGCCACTCGTCGAACCTGCAAACGTTACCCGGCGTTCGGGCCGGCCAGTCCGGAAGGCCGAACCGAGGCTCATGCTGGTCAAATAGGTTCGTTGTAACGTTTGGCAACGTGAAACCAACCTATTTCTGGCCGAACTTGTTGGCTGTAACGGGTAACGCTCCAAAGGAGCGAACTTAGGGTCGAAATAAGACAGTATATATACACTCCTTGCCCAAAACCCTTGCCCAAAACCACAATACGAGCCTGGCACAGCAATCAGAACTGAATGCAGATAATCGAGCATACAGACCACTTACCACCCCACCAAACCATGATGGCTTGAACAAGCTTGATCCCGAACCGAGGATTAGAACCTATCTCAGATTCTCATCAGTCTTAGGCGGCCAAGCAAAGAGAAATACAATACACCGAATGGGATGCGATCTCTGATCGAGATCTTCACAGAATCGACAACTGCAAACGAAAGCTTACACTAGACAAGTGGGACAGGCCGTCGGCCTCTGTGGGTGGTCTACAGATCATTGCAATTCAGCTGCAGGCAACGATTCGAGACACTCGTCACGTACTAGACAAACAGGCCTACTGCACCATCGGACATTGTGGGCCGTCCACTACGCCACCCACGATAAATGAGACGAAGGTAACCAGTGGTCTCAGGAAGTGGAGAGGACGAGAAGATGATGTGGAGGAGAGGGCAAGATGATGGGCGAAAGGAAGTGACGGCGAACGACTTGACGCGGTTGGCGCGTCCAATGACTCGGATCGGGAGCACTCGGAACGAATGACCCAATCGGTGTTTGCCGTGCGGTGCGAAACCGCGTCGTGCGATTTCTCGACTTGTCGCTGCACGCTCTCCTCTCGACTTGTCGTGCCGCGCTCTCTCTCACCTCCTCGACGCGTACCCTCTCCTAGTAACCTCCCGTGCTTAGCCTCGTATGGCTCTCGTCAAAGACTGAATACAGGAGCTGTTAGGAGACGTCCTTTGCATCATGCAAACAGATGTCAATGTATGTGGCCGGCTTGTGTTCCCACCAGCATACACCGCAAATCGGCCAAATCCTGAGTCTAACGTGACGTTGATGGGTGACGCTGATCTGGATGAGCAGCTGGATCCGAGCTGACGCGGGGAAGAACGCAGCGCGAGCCGTCATCTCGTTTCTATGTGGGTACAGCTGATACGACTCTGTATTCAGCGCTCGCCCAGGATGTTCCCAATCTTGTCGACAGACTTGCTCGTGCATAA